TGGGATACTGGGAATGGGATGTTGGGATTGGGGTACTGGGAATGGGATATTGGGATTGGGGTACTGGGAATGGTTTAAACTGGGATATTGGGATACTGGGACTGGGATATTGGAATTGGGATACTGGGAATAGGATAATGGGAATGGTTTAAACTGGGATATTGGGATAGGATATTGGGATTGGGATATTGGGAATGGTTTAAACTGGGATGGGAATGGGATATTGGGATTGGGATACTGGGAATGGTTTAAACTGGGATATTGGGATTGGGATACTGGGAATGGGATATTGGGAATGGGATACTGGGAATGGGATATTGGGAATGGGATGTTGGGAATGGGGTACTGGGAATGGGATACTGGGAATGGGATATTGGGAATGGGATGTTGGGAATGGGAGATTGGGATATTGGGACACTGGGAATGGTTTAAACTGGGATACTGGGAATGGGATAATGGGGGATGGGATATTGGGATATTGGGAATGGGATACTGGGAATGGATGGAATGGATGGGATAGTGGGGATGGGATATTGGGATTGGGATATTGGGAATGGGATACTGGGAATGGGATAATGGGATATTGGGAATGGTTTAAACTGGGATACTGGGAATGGGATTTTGGGATTGGGAGATTGGGATATTGGGATACTGGGAATGGTTTAAACTGGGATACTGGGAATGGGACACTGGGGATGGAATGGGATATTGGGAATGGGATAGAATACTGGGATTGGGATATTGGGATACTGGGAATGGGAATGGTTTAAACTGGGATATTGGGATAGGGATATTGGGAATGTGATACTTGGAATGGTTTAAACTGGGATGGGAATGGGATATTGTGATTGGGATACTGGGAATGGTTTAAACTGGGATATTGGGATAGGATATTGGGATTGGGATATTGGGAATGGTTTAAACTGGGATGGGATTGGGATATTGGGATTGGGATACTGGGAATGGGACAGTGGGAATGGGATAATGGGAATGGGATATTGGGATTGGGATACTGGGAATGGGATACTGGGAATGGGATATTGGGATATTGGGACACTGGGAATGGTTTAAACTGGGATACTGGGAATGGGATAATGGGGGATGGGGATACTGGGATACTGGGATATTGGGAATGGGATACTGGGAATGGATGGAATGGATGGGATAGTGGGGATGGGATATTGGGAATGGTTTAAACTGGGATGTGAATGGGACACTGGGAATGGGATACTGGCAATGGTTTAAACNTACTGGGAATGGGATACTGGGAATGGGATACTGGGATTGGGATGTTGGGATATTGGGATTGGGATACTGGGAATGGGATACTGGGAATGGGATATTGGGATTGGGATACTGGGAATGGGATACTGGGATTGGGATGTTGGGATATTGGGATTGGGATACTGGGAATGGGATACTGGGAATGGGATACTGGGATTGGGATACTGGGATTGGGATACTGGGAATGGGATACTGGGAATGGGATACCGGGAATGGGATACTGGGATTGGGATACTGGGATTGGGATACTGGGAATGGGATACTGGGAATGGGATGTTGGGATTGGGATACTGGGAATGGGATGTTGGGAATGGGATGTTGGGATTGGGATACTGGGAATGGGATACTGGGAATGGGATATTTGGATTGGGATACTGGGAATGGTTTAAACTGGGATATTGGGATACTGGGACTGGGATATTGGAATTGGGATACTGGGAATAGGATAATGGGAATGGTTTAAACTGGGATATTGGGATAGGATATTGGGATTGGGATATTGGGAATGGTTTAAACTGGGATGGGAATGGGATACTGGGATTGGGATACTGGGAATGGGATAATGGGAATGGGATATTGGGATTGGGATACTGGGAATGGTTTAAACTGGGATATTGGGATTGGGATACTGGGAATGGGATATTGGGATATTGGGACACTGGGAATGGTTTAAACTGGGATACTGGGAATGGGATAATGGGGGATGGGATACTGGGATATTGGGATACTGGGATACTGGGGATGGATGGAATGGATGGGATAGTGGGGATGGGATATTGGGATTGGGATTCTGGGAATGGTTTAAACTGGGATGTGAATGGGACACTGGGAATGGTTTAAACTGGGATATTGGGATAGGATATTGGGATTGGGATACTGGGAATGGGATACTGGGAATGGGATACTGGGATATTGGGAATGGTTTAAACTGGGATACTGGGAATGGGATTTTGGGATTGGGATATTGGGAATGGGAGATTGGGATATTGGGATACTGGGAATGGTTTAAACTGGGATACTGGGAATGGGACACTGGGGATGGAATGGGATATTGGGAACGGGATAGAATACTGGGAATGGGATAATGGGATACTGGGAATGGGATCATGGGAACAGGATATTGGGAATGGTTTAAACTGGGATACTGGGAATGGGATATTGGATATGGGATACTGGGAATGGTTTAAACTGGGATGGGGATGGGATATTGGGGATAATGGGATACTGGGAATGGGAATAAAAAGGAATAAAAAAGGGAATAAATGGAATTAAGGGAATAAATGGGAATAAAATGGAACAAAAGGGAATAAAAAAGGGAATAAAAAGGAATGAATGAGAATAAATGGGAA